ATGGCAAATGGTTTGGTTCCATTTCAATTTCCTAGACTTACAAAAGAGAATTGTGAGAATTGGGCAATTAGAGCCTTGCTAGGATCACAAGATGCTTGGGAGATAGTTGAGAAAGGTTATGTAAAGCCAGAAGATGAAACTTCTTTGCCCACTCAAAGGGATACCTTGCAAAAGGCTAGGAAGAAGGGATTTAGTTAGGCGGCGAATCTTCATTGAACCTTTATTCTTCCACTCCGTACCAAGTAGTTGCAAGACTAAGGGATGATAGAGAATATGTGTCGTATTATAGAAGAGTTGTGTGTAGCTATCTTTTTCTTCCTTCACTAACTTTAATTGGGATAATTCCTGTAAGCTTCTACTTTGATAGCTAGATATGACTCCGGTAGTTTCTCTACTGAAATCCCTAAGCCGGGTTGTTCATGTGGGGTTAATTACCCTTTTGAGTTAGAGCTGCTAGGCAGAAGCTCTTTATACCAAAATCTGCCTGCTCACTGTAGCATAAAGTGTCTCGTCCTCTACTGTAGAGGTAGGAGCATTCTATATGTAGGATAGGGAATCAATTTCCAGCTAATTTAGCTAACTTCTCAGCGATGCATGACTCCGGTAGTCAGATTCATGCTGGTGATTTACTCATTGGTATTAAAAAGCGTCTTCTATCTGATGATTATCAATTTTCGGGTGTTTGTATCTCCCATAATTTTTTTATTTTAGAATTAAAGATCCTGATGCTCTTTCAACTAATATGTCGGAGTGTGAAATATGTGTTGATAAAAAAGACGTGTTGATTATTTATTCATTGGTTCAAATGATAATGATTCAAATTCAGAGACAATATCAATTACATAGTTGTAGATATGAGTTGTATTGTATGAGTGATATAGAATCAATAAATAGTTTCCATCATTATATTTCGGAATGGTGGGAGTTGGAAGGTCTCCTTCTTATTGATTGCTCTAATTCTTATGAATCTATACCAATCTGTGGAGTATTAGATAAAATGAAAAGAATCTTTAATAATGATGATAATCTCTATCGACTTTTTGCGTCATTAATTAAGATTCCTATCCGTTATGAAGGGGGTAGAAGTAGCTCCAATATTGATAGTATTTCGAAACTTCCGTACCTGAGCTATATACTATTTGATATTTATATGGATAATATCGATCGGTTTATAAAAGATTGCTATCTTGTTTTTAAATATGCGCGCTTTCGAAGTTATATGGTTATAGGTTTCAATTCAATAGATGAAAAAATAACATTTATGTATGAAAAGAAATCAATATTTTAAAAGTACTTGTTACCAAAACCATTTACGACGCTTCTTTTAAGGGATTCGTTTCCTGTTATGAAATAATGGTATATATACGTTAAAAGTAACGGAGGGTGTGAAATAAGACATCGATTGAATGATCCAATGATCCACATTCAGAAGTCGTCATATAAACCAATTCGAACTAAAAAAAGAGTCCCTTATTCGTGGGAGTCTAAAGATCAAAAAGAATAAGGGCTAGCAGTATGGCAGAGAGTTGCAATTCATTCGAATGATAAGATCTCAAACAATAAGGAACGAGGAAGATCAATGCCTTTGAATTATTCGAGGGAATATCTGCCGTTTAACAGTATCGGGTATTCTGATATGTGATAGCTCTTTAACATTGGTTTAAACGCTCTCTAGGAGAGCAATATCCTTTAATTGTTCGGAGAGAAAGACGTTGTTCAGCAGGTTTAAGGTATTCGATACTGATCGTTTCTTACCTTAGGGTTAAACCTTCTTATTTTCATTGAACCGGATAAAGGAGATCCTTGATCGACCCTAGCAAACCCTATTTAACGATATGCTTGACTGGAGTAAGGGATCCCTTGAAAGGGACACGTACGTGTTTAGTATAAAGAAAGTAAAGAACAACTATCTTCTTAGTGTAAGTTAGTGTCGTTAAATACAGATTTTATCAAACTAATGAAACAAAACCAGCTATCTCCCGTTGCTATTCCTAAATCCGACCTCGATCAAACTCCTATTACCGAAGCTAATGAGTGGAACAAGCATAAGGATAAGGTTTACCAGTATGGCAGAGTTTCGTAGCAGAGTTAAAGGCGTGCCAACTTTTCAAACTCTTTCTTAAGCGCTGGTTCTGCTTTCACTATATGGGAAATATAAGAGCATATAAACGATAGGGCAAGATAGAAAAAATAGCAACAGGAAGCTCGCTCAAAAGCCCAAAGGAACGGAGTTAATGCTCCCACATCCATAGCATGAGTAGTTAAAGCAAGTGAATGATTTGAAATTCGAGTTATTTCACGGAATAACACTCGTATATATTGAGCTCGTAATGGTACCTCGCAATTCAAAAGTATCTCTACGGCTGAAGAATGAGCGTGTTCTTGGGCCATCATAGAAACATAGATAGGGTCGACGACGGAACGAAGAACTCACCCCTAGATACAACTTTTTCGTAAACGTTCACTTGCATCACATACACAAGTGCTCTCTGAACCGTGC